CCCCCATTTGCGCCATCTGAGGTCAAGGGTTACGTGCGCACGTACGATTCGAGGCGAGTTTTCTGCATCAGGAATTAAAGGAAACAAAGAGCGTGAGAGGGAATACGCACCGCGGTGGAATAACTTTTACCCATTTATGGATCTGTAATTGCATTAAATCCGGCGCGGCTAAGAGCTTCTCCCTGCATCACAGGAATGCGTTTGCTTGCGAGGCAGCCGCTACCCTGACTTCCCTCTCCATATCAATGAGCTCGCAGAGGGTTGTGCGTCATCAAAACATTTCGCTCTATTTACAGTCAACTCCGCGCTCCGCCAGCGAACAGTCGTGTGAAATATGTGCAGAGACACATGGCTAGATAAAGCTCTTTGTCACTCATGTCCCTCATGTCACACTGTTGCAGCAATCTGTTGACACAACTATGTGAGCAGTCAACACAAATGAGAAAAGGTGCAATGGCTCCGGGCTACAAAAAAAAAAAAAAAAAAAAAAACCAACAGGATTCCCAGAAACGATGATAAAGATTGAGAAAAATAATAAAAAATAGAAGAAAAAAAAGTGATGAAGAGGTTTGTGCGCTTTCATCCTCAGTTCTAAAGAGACTGCTCCAGCAATAGCGCTCTAATCAGACGTGATTCACTGCTATTAAAGACGTGCACGCAGCAAAAATATTTATGGAGGACATTTTCAAGAAACATAAATTTGTTAAGAAAAGAGCCATCAGCCAAACAAGGGCCAGATCTTCCTGTTGTTTACGCAGGAAGCATGAAAAGCTTGGATAAATCACCAAAAGGTCAAACACATCTGCTATCATTTCTGCACAAGTACTCAAATGCAGCGTCTGTTATACTTGGGACTACATTTGCGTGAGAGCAGATAGAAAGTAAAGTGAAATACAACATTGTTCAAAACTGACCGATTTCAGTGCCTGTGGCAAAAGCCAGAACAAGTGAACATTTTAAGATTTAGTCGCGCGACAACCTCAGATTTGAGAATTTATGTAAAAGATGAACACAACAGAGAGAGAGCGAGCTTTGAAGTGAAAGGGAACAAGACAGATTTATGAATAAAATAAAAAGCGTGGCACAAATATGTATTTCACTCGCTTTACTCTGACATAATTTAATCTATAAATCCAGCTGTTCTATGAAGAGCTTGAATTAGTTACAGCACAGAAACTAGTGTCAGTTTCTTGTGCTTGAACACACCACCACCACCGCTGTGGTGGCAGCATCATGCAGTGGGGCTGCTTTCCTTCAGAAAGAACAGGAAAGCTGTTTCTAGGAACAGGTTTATTTGATGAAGGATGATCACACAAAGTGAAAGGAGCACGTTTTTCAAAGTTTCAATCCCAGAGGAGAAGAAAACATGGAAACAACACACAACCTGGAAGAATAAATGCAAAGAAAGTGCTGGCTTTCCAAAAAAAAAAAAAAAAAACATCTGGGAGCCATCCGGGAGTTGGGAGAAAATCGCTGCACTCAGCTGAAACTCTTTCCCCCTCCTCTCTCTCTCTGTGCTGCCGTCCTTCTTGCCTGCTTCGCATCCAGCTAACGTCTTCCCCCAAAGGGCTGAGCGCAGAGGGAGAGCGCAGTGCATCAGAGGGCCGAGGGAGACCGTAAGCTCTACCAGCGCTCACTCTCTCAGATTGCACAAGGAGAGCATGTGTTGCTAACTGATGGGATTAATGCAAATTTAACACGTTCCACATCCGGCAGCTGTGGAAAGCCACTCAGTATCTGTGTTGGAGCTTCTGAAACATGAAATGAGAACACAGCTAAAAAAGAAAAAAGAAAAAAAAAAGTGGCAACTTGTATTAATTATTCTAAAAAAATTACATTACATTTTCATGAAGAGTTTGCTCTTTGACCTTTCACCTTAAAACACAGAGAGATATCTGGCCTTTTCTGCGGTCAGAGGCGTCTGACCCTTCATGTGACGGGCGTTAGCAGAAATGTCAGCCAGTCCCAGAGGTTGGACAAAGGACACACTTTCTCTCTGCGGAAGACAGACGGAGATTTTTCTCTCAGATTCTGTTCCGTGTCCATTTCACTATCAAAGAATTAAACAGAGGAAACCGATAAAGAGTGCAGTACCTTGAAAAACTATCCACATCACTTTCCTGCTGTATTTTTTCTCCATCTACAAACCTCCATTTATTTCATTATGATTTTATGTAGCACACCAGCACATACATTAATATTTAGATATATTAAGAATAAATGACTACTTTCCTTTTTGTTTAGATTCTTGTACTCATGAAATATAATTATGTTGTTGTGCTATGGTTATCGTTGTGATGAAGACTGCAAAGTAGCCACTGGCTAAAGATATCCCACAAGCAGAACATTTGTAACATGTTAACCTGACCTGTTTTCAAGGTTCTGGTTGTCTTGTCCCTGAAAAACAAGCTAATAGATAAGTTACAAAAAGAAGTAAATGTTTCCATTCTTGTTGCTTCATGTTTCACCGCTACTTTCCGTCACCAAGGATCTGCCTGCACACTAGAAGGTTTCTGAAGACACGAGTGAACGCGACATTTGAAATTTTTGCAGAGGTCGTAAAAGTCAAGAGGGTCATAAAAAATGTTAGGGGTAAACTTTCTGTAGACCCCCTTACTAAAATCCTAGATCCCACTTTGACTTAGCTAAACCGTAATGTTTTGGATCTAAGGTCACAAGTCAAAAAGTTTATTATGTTTGTAAGGGGCATAAACATGAAAACTTCCCACAGTGCAAGCTCACTAATGCGCAGGATTAGTGAGATTTACACTGAGCATATTTCATTTTAAAAATATTTTATTTAGGTATCATTTAATCAGATCACATCTCGGAGTGAATGAAGAATTACTCAACAACCAGTTTCACTGACCTTTATGTCCTTTATTTTTTAAAGTTATTATTATATCCATGTGCAATAATAAAGGAAATATATCAACTAGAATAACAGTGAAAGCTCAGATATTATTAGTCCCGTTTAACACCGTAGCAGTTTTCTATTTTCCCCAGATCATCCCTCACCTGCTGCACACTGCTCCTCCAAACTAGCGGCAGCAGCAATTAGCAAACATCTGGTGGAACTGTGAGTCGGCTGAGCTCATCGTGTAAACTCCAAAAAAAAAAAAAAAAACAGCTGTAAATGGTACAATAAGAAGCATTGTTGTGACTGTTGGAGGCCCAACTTCTCAGCAGAAAACTTTAAACAAACTTTAACAAGCTTTTTTTTCCTTCAGTGGTGGAGTCTTGTGCAGCGAGTAGCCACGTTGTCCGTTGTGTTTGAGTACACGTGAGAAACAATGCCTGCTCTTTCTAGGCGTTTCTGAAGCAAGTACTTTGACATCTCCTCCGTCAGGATTCCCATGAGGTTCCACCTGGCCATGGCTTGTTTGTGGTTAAATTATGTTCTCTCCTCTCTGGAAATATGGCTCCAACTGCAAACACTACAACAATCCTCCACCCATCCAACCAACCAACACGCTTATCCTTCCACGGTCACAAGGAGTGCTGGTGCTAATCTTCAGCGGTCAATTGACGAGAGGCGGGCTACCACCTGGACAGTCCATCCCACTGCAATAATCAGACGTTTAGAAATGCAGTTGCCATCAGCGTGTTCTGCAACAATATGACTTTTCAAAAGATCTCTTTGCTTTTTACCAATTGTGCCACTCCATACAATACGAATGAGAAACCTTTCTATAGGATATAAATGCTTTCTAAATACTGACAGACCTTAGCTGGTTTCTTGGATATCTATGCCGCTGAGCACATCCTTTTCTTCATGCATGCTTTATCTCATTTGTAAACTACTTCCCTTTGAAATTAGTTGTATTTACATCTTATGTTGGTTGCGGTTGACAGCTGACGTAAATTTGGTGGCACTGGCTCTATCAGTAATATTTCAACTGAACTGAATTTTCACATTCAATAGATACGTAGCTCGTCGTTATACCCTCTAATATTATGGTTACTAAAGAAAAGTACGAGTTAAAAAATTCAGTATTGGTAAGTCAAAGCTTTACAAAAACTAAATGACTGGAAATTCGCCATAAAATCCTGACTTGTGTGTTTCTAATGGGAAGGTCCATTCTGCCTCAAACACTGGTGGAGACACGAGAGGAGCACACGCCAACATTTTTACCCTGATCCTAATCTATGCATGTTCACTCATAAGATCAGTGCCACACGGCAGCCCAGTAAAAGGTCGTGACCCCTCGCTGCACTAAAACAATTGTGTAATAACAATCCCGTCAAACTGTGGCTTGTGAAGGTACAACTCTTTAAAACCAAGTCTAAATCCTGATCACTCTCGTCATCTTCACTTTGATGCAGGAATCTATGAGGGAAGACTCGGCTTTAAACATGTGAGCTAACCGTATACCTTTATTTACCAAGATGCAGACAGAGACTACAGCTGTTGGTCCTTTTGAAATTTTAACAAAGGTTTAGGGTCGCAGGATAAATTTGTCTTACATTTCCATTTCCAAAATGATCGACATGTTCTCCAGTAATTTTCCGTCTTCTCGCGACTTCCTATCTACCACCCACCCCACTCCAGTCCGCTGCCCTCTGTTCTTTATCTATCTTCCGCTCTGACCCCACTCGTCAACCCTGCCTTCACCTTTCCCTCCCTCTCCTCTTCTTTCTCTTCTTTGCACGTGCGTCTGCCTTTTGTGTTGCCATCTAGAGGAGGTGACGAAGACTCTGGGCGCGGTCCAGCGCAGGCGGAGTCACGGAGGAAACACAGGCATCACCGTCACCGTCACCGTCATCATCGTCCAGATGAGGGGAGCCAAACTCGAGCTGTGTCCGTCCCCATCAGGCTGGCTGACAGTCACAAACTCATCTCTTATTCACTTTACTCATCAATTATACACAGGCCAAAGGAGCCCTGAGAGGCAAGGGTTGCAAAGGCCCCCCTCTCTACGTGTCGCTTCAAACTGCAGTGCGAAAGCACATCGCGCTGCTCCCGCCTCCCATGTCTGTCCTGCTGTCTCCCGGCGAGCAGGAGGCAGCCTCGTCTTCACATCTCCATCACCTACTGCAGCGGCGAGGTTAGGATTGGATCATACATAGGTAGAGCTTTTTACACGTTACAGTCTTTTTCCAAACTGTGTTAAGTTAATTTCTTTCCTCGAGATTCAAATCGCATGTACATAAATATTCAGAACCTTTGCTTCATACTTTGTTGATGAAGTTTAAAGTTTCCACTGATCGTCCTTGAGATGTTTCCGCAGTTTAAAATGCAGTCCAACTGTGGTAAATTCAAGTGTGTTCAAAGTAAATTAAAGTAAATCAATTCAAAGTGTGTGGTCTACGCCAAGAGTGTCAAACTCATTCCCAACTTGGGTCACAAAGTAACCCAAAAAGATCATTGTCTTCAGAATATGTTGATAAAACTACCCATTAACAAACTGTTAAAATACTTAATGAACAGATATTTACTAGTTAACATAAAAAAAAATGTTTTCGAAGTCTTTTCATTGAAGATACACACAGAGAGCAAAACTTAACAGATGAATGTGCAACATTAGTTCCGATCTGGTATTCGAGTCTCCATTTTTCTGTCTGCAGGCTGAACTAATGTTTCCCTAAAAGTGATTTACAGTCCAAGTATGACCAATAACAACTAATAAACATGATATACAGCCCTGGAAAACCGATTTAGAAAGGAGAAGCAACATTTACCTGCTAAGACGGGCCATTAAAAGCTTTGTGTTGGGCTTGTATCAGCAGCGTGTCAGCGAAAAAGGGGGAGAAAAACGGTTGTCTTCAGACATTACATATCGTTTGATGTTTTGCTTAAAAAAAACTTTAAAAACACGAGAGTCGTAGCGCATGATGTTACCGAGCCGTAAAGATTTAATTGCTCCCCCAGAGAAGTTCATAGTTGAGTTGAGTTAGCTCGAAACTTGCAGCCATTTCTGTGCAACATGAAATGATCCACAGTTTGCTAGAATGATAGCTTGACAGACACTTATATCGACGGAGACACACCTGCACTTATTTACACATGAAATCATGTAGATTATGTTGAAAAATATATGAAACCAGGCAGGGTTGGCCTTTTTTTCCCCCTCACCGAGGTCAGTACAGCAGTATTTCCATAAACATAATATAATATATATATTATGTATATGAGTATTTCGTTTTAACTTCTCCTTCTTTTGATTTGATTGGCGGTTGGCAGACTGGGTTAAGTGCATTACTGCCCCCCACTGGACTGGAGGGTGAATCTGTAGAATGGGCAGGATGAAGAAAAAAAACAAAACAGAAAAACTATATTCGACTAAATAATCCAATAAAAATAAAAATAATCTTAATGAATATGCTGGCTGATTTTTCCTGTAAGAGTCCAGATGATGTGAATTCCTTTTGTTTTTGTATTCATTACACTGAAGCAGTACATGTTCCACTGTCTGCTGGTTACAATATGTTCATGTTGGATGTCCTATTCTGAGTTGAGTGATTGCATTTTCTTCTTTCCTCTTCCATCTGGTTGTCCTTGGTAATCCAACGTGTTTTCGTATTATATATGAATGTTTTTCTGTTTCCTAGAAATCCCAAAACTCTTCCCAGACCCTTTGTGTGTGTTTCCTAATGAAAAATGTAATGTCAGATTTACTCAATGGAACTTGTAGTTATGTGGATTTTCTCTTCGTAGCCTGTTTTTGCCAGAGTTTCTGCCATTTCATTTCCTTCCATAATAACACGTCCTGGAACCAAATACATTTTTTTCTTTACTTCTTTACTTTCTACTCCATTCATTTCTGGTTTAATTACCAAAAAAATGTGATTTAGGAGTTACCTGCTTGCTCAGTTGACAAAATACCAGCATCTCTAGAATACAATTTCAGATACAAAAAGCTAAAAGTGCAGTCAGGAAAAAGTTCAATGACGTCCATGTTATAAAGTGTAGTTCCTTTGTAAAGTGCTGTTACTTTTCGATTTGTGACGCAGTGGTTTCGGTTTGGGTCATGTTTTTTTTTTTCTTCTTTTTTTTTGGGGTGGCCATCCAGCGCGTCAAAGTAAACAAACTGCACAGTTAAAACAGTTCCTATTCTACGTAGATTATACTCGTCGTATCCTATTTCCAGCTGGCACGCCAAAGGGGATTGATGGACTTTCATCTAACTCTAAAATACTGCTCAGTGTGAAGAGGAAATAGAGGAGCAGAGCCTAATGCCTGATATCGCAAGAAGATAATAAAGGAGCGAGGGGTTGGGGGGAGAAGAGGGGGTAGGATGAGGACGGAAGATAAAGATAGAAAGAGACCACACAGAAAAAAGTGGGTAGGAATTCTGACAAATCACTGAAGCTGGGAGAACGGGAGGCGGGCAAGAGAAGACGCAGCAAACCAATCATAGTCCAAATACAAACCTATTTAATCTTCAGCAGAGAAATGGATCAGGCTCAGCGGACAAACCAGAGAGCCGCAGCTGCTCCGTTTGCACCAAACAGAGATACTGCGGGGGGCTGGGGGGGAATGTTACTGATGTGGAGATAATGCTGATGTGCGGAACTGCTCCGGCGTTAATTAGTGCAGAATTTGATGTAATGTGTGTAATTTCTTCTGTCATCGCCCTGCGCAGCCGCACAGCGTTACTCCTCCGTCTTCTGAGTACGTCACTTTTGTCAGAGAGAAAGAAGTTTTCATTCAGCTTGAGGCAGATTCTTCCCAGCAGCCTGACAGCGCAAGAAGCAGGACATGGATGACGTCTGATGCAGATGGACTCGTTTTATTATTCTTTTCCTCACACTTAAATGTTTGAGGTGAACAAACAAGGATGGCACAACTAGTTATTAGGTCCAAATGTGATTTGTTTTATATGTGGATTTTTTTATTTTATTTTATTTTTTTAAATTAAAATTATTTTTGTGTTTACTCAGGTGATTTAATTATTTATTTATTTATTTATTTTGCCTCATATTAAACATTTTAGATATGGCAAAATGTAAAAGCAGAAGAAATCTGTGAAGAGGAAATACTTGTTCGTGGCACTGTAAACACCGAGACAGACTTCTTTTATTTCACATGAGGTGGAAGGGAAGCTGACGCAAGGCATGGTTAATGTACCTTCACTAATTAGCCTTCCCAAGAGCCTTAGTTCAGAGAACAAGAAAACAAGTCCGACCATTTATTTCTGCCTCTGTCACCACCTTGTTCCGCAATCATAATTATCTCACTCGCTGCCCTTGACCCGCCAATCTGACACAACTGAGACGCGCGGTGTCAAAGCTGAGACAGGTCATCCGCCGCCTCAAAGCAAACGTCACAAAGGTTGCAATTTAGGCTGAAACTTTTTACACTAACTCCTTGTCATCTATTTTAAATTTCAGGAGGAGGAAAAAATAAAATAAAATAAAATAGAAACATATCGAGGTCAGAAATATATAATTTTACATTCTGTTCCTACTCAGAGCGATTTGTCATAAATTGGAGGATTTATTTCTCACCAGATCCTCCCAATATTCCCACCAGAACCAGGAAAACGGACATGAAAGGAAACCCGTTCTGTAACTCCGCGTGGAAGAAAAGTCAAAAGTGCGCATTTCCCACACCCCTTTGTTGCTGTGTTTTCCCCGTGATGACACACAGAGGATCTGATAAAGTGCCATCATCCATAAATAATAAGTCTAACTGTGGTTTGACTCCACAGCCTGGTGGAAAAGTGGAGCAGTGCGACTCCGAGTAAAACGGCTGAACGCACGAAGAGGCCGGCTGTGTGGGATGTGGGCAATCATTACCGGAGACACTCATTACTGCAGACCTGGTCACTGCTCACAAGTCACCAACAATATGTTATCCACTGACTGTTTCCCTGGAGCCGTATTTTTTATGTATGCATGTCATTTTCATGCAGAAACAAAGCATTATATGGTTGTACGGAGCATTACACCATGACACGCCTCTGCCAGATTGTCGTGATGCAAAAAAAAGTGAAACTTTGATCAATCTTTTCAAGCTTTATGTGGCATATTCAACTGAAAACACATTTATAAGAGGAAATCGTTTAAAAACTGCAATATCCTGGGTCTCATAAAGGCACGCACACTTAAACTAATCATTTTTCTTGCAGCACCTCCCAACTTTTCTACATTCAGTCTTCTTAAGCTCACACCTGCCATCAGTTATAGCGAATCGGATAAACTTGAAGTGTGCTAAAGCAGTCCTGGTGGGATTTCCTTTATGTTTGCTCATTTGCGTCCTTTATCTGAAGCCGTGGTTTCCAGAGAGGTTGCAAAGGATGAAAATGACTTCAGTGCACAAAGGTATCAGTCAGAAGAAAGGCACAAACAAATTCCCCATTGTTATACATACATGTTTTGTCCAGGGAAACTTGGTTTTGGCAGCTTCATGCTGTGGACAGATTAGAGTTTGAACAGATCCAAATATCAGTCAGTTCTGAAAAAAAAACACACACACTTAGTTGTCTGCTAGAAAGCTAAAGATAAAAAGTTTGTTTGATTTTAGAAAAATAAGAAGAAAAAAAACAGTAAAGTGGGACCAATCATCACAAACAAACTTCTATTTTTGTATTTTTAAACCCAAATTTCTATGTTTATATTAATAAACAAATTATGTTAAAAGAAAATGCCTCATCATTTTCATCCACTCGAGAACTGGAGTCGCGCTAAAATAATGACGAAAGCTTGAACAGTTTTATCAACGCCCGATTCTAGGGCATGATTAGCATTTTGTCACCACAAAAAGAAACATGTTTTAAACTAAACTGGAAAAAGTTCATAGTTTAAATGCAACAAATTCGAGTCCATTATGTCTGACCAAAATGTTTTTATGCCAAATCACACAATGCACATTGTATCAATAATAGAACATTGTTCTTTCAGAGGACATGTGAATGATGCTGAAAATATTTTATTTTGATCAAAATATCATTGAATTTAATTAATTAAAAGAAAACAGCGCCATCGTAGACACGGTGTGAGTAGGATTATAGTTTGGGAGGGGGGAGGCATCGCCCGCAGAGACCGCAGTGCCGCCCCTGGACTGGAAGCTGTTTGTTGTTTTTACCCGAGTGGCAAACTGTCTGTTTTTCGATTTGATACAGTAGGAGCTTCCGCACTTCCCATATCTGTGTCCTCTACTTTTTTCAGCAGTTAAAACAGTTTAATCGGTTGTTGACACGTCGTAACCTGTTTTTCCGAGCCGCCTTCAAACGCAACATGAACGCTGAGATGCTCGCGCTGAGGCAGTGAAGGAGACCTGCTGCTGCTGCGCAGAGCTACGCAGGTTTGTTAGACTCACGGCAGCAAACCAGCAAAACGCAAAGAACTTTGCACAGTTTTCCCCTCCAAACTAACCGACTGAGTTGAGTAAAGCTGTTGGATGCAGGTAATGTTTGCTAAAAGATGACAAGCTAATATCAATACAGCACCTTAAGCTTGTTAACAAGTTGTTGTCTATGTTCAAAAGTGGGTAGTACTTGTTACATTCACTTGAGTAACTTTTTTGGGAAAAGATACTTATAAGAGTAGTTTTACTGCGCTGTACCTTTTTGTCTGGAGCCAGGGCTGCTGTGTGGACCAGTGAAGTCCGTTTAATCTGAAAACTGTACATTTTTACACAAAGCTTTCAGAGAAAATGTCTCAAATTGCACAGCAAAATCTAATTGGAACATTGCAGCGTTTCCCCTCAAGTCAGCAACAGTTAGGCTCGAGACATCTGTTCGTCCGATTTAGACTAAATAGAAAGATAATCTTCACTATTGCACAACAGCTGCACCTTGGGGGGCGAGCGGGGGGGAGGGCCGGTTTCCCTCACTGGAAGATGTTCAGACAGGATCAGGTCTTTATGTTAACATGAGGAGTCATAAGTCAGGTACTGCTGAGGCTCCCAGCGTTAACAGAGAGGTCCAAAGCTGTCAGGATCTATTTGTGCACAAGACGCAGCTCCATTAATAACACATTGCAATGAATAATAAAGAAAGAAAGAAAAAAAAACGACTGTGGTAAGAATGAAAAAATATATCACAACACAACATAAGTAGGTCACAAAAACAGCGCTGGAGAGGCTGATCAGGAAAAAAGAGAAGAAAAAAAGAGCATTAATAAAGACAGAGAAACATTCTTACCAGCTCCCATTCTCCACTGGATCGTGTTTATGACTTGTTGAGGTTTCAGGCCTTGTGAAAAGGGCATTCTCGTCATTTCCAAGACGCTTTGCCAATAGCTCCTCCCTATCTGTGTTTTGATCTGAAAAATGAACATGAGCATGAAATATTTCCTTCCAGTTCTCTCTCTTCCTTCAAATAAACAAAGGCGGTGGGGGGAAACACAGCGACTGAGATTTAAACAGCAGTTCTAAATTTCACCAGATCCAAGGAAACGCGCCCTGCGAGAAGAAAGAGGTTTTTAATTTACAACCGAGCCAAAGAACTTCTCCCACACCTCTTGGTGGCTGTGCTGTTTTACATTCCTCCAGCAGCGCCGCATTTCACTGCCACGGAGAGATAAATTTGTGCAAAAGAGCCGAGATGAGTGATTTAATACGGGGGTTGGAAAAAGCAACAGAGAATGAGAGGATTTCTGGTTTGAAAACAGTGATGGAGTCACATGTGCCTCTCGAGTACGAGTAGAGATTCATAATTAGAAAAAACAACAACATTTTCTTCAAAAGTCTTCCAGGCTTAAAAAAAAAAACTGCATCTGCAAACATGTTCAGACTAATCCAAAACAAATATGGTTTATCTGGGATTATTGAATAAAGAAAGGAGCAGAGGCAAAGGGATTACAAAGCAGGTGTTTAGAGGAAGAAAAGGAAAGAGGAAAAGTCTGATGAGTGGGTTGAACGGATGGACGTAACTTCGGGGTAGAAACCCAGAGTTTGTTTCAGATAGACGGGCCGAGGCGGGAACAGAACCGGCCTCGACTCGGAGCCACCGACTGTGGCTCTGACTGCCGGTCGGCTTCGCTCCGGCTCATGTGACTGTCCTTGGGTGAGAGTTGAGATGAGTTTTACTCCAAACATCCAACAAATAATTCCCTGTGGATTAACACAATCCATCTGTAAAATAATAGAATCATAATCTGGATTCCTACAATCACAATCCAGAGGCTGGAAACGCTTTAAATGTTTCCAAAGGGGGGGAAGCATAACCGATGTGGTCTAATATATTGATATCTGTAGACTGTAAAACGCCATCCTAGTTATAGCAACACTGAAAATTAATTCAAAAGAAAACAAAATAATGACCCTGCATGACACACTGCATTAAATACAGACATGCTTCTACACACTGACTTCTCAGCCAACTCCTAAATTATTTATCGCTCTGGCAGATGTAGGTTTAGTCTTTAAAAGTCAGATGAAAGTCAATTCAGTTCAGTGTATTTATATATTGCCAGCTCACAACAGAGGTCGTCCTTTGTTGTTTATCTGAAAAAGATCATTTCATTTAAATATTCAAAGTAATTTAAAAAGTTTCTATCTGTGAAACCCACCTGATGGCATTGAGTCACTCCTTCTGGATAAGCCCTTAAATACAATTGCTCTCGTTGTTTTGTTGACTCTACAGCAGTCCCTCGTACAGAGCTGCATGTAGCGACAGTGGAGAGGAAAATCTCCCCTTTAACAGGAAGAAACCTCCAGCAGAACCAGAGCCTGCCTCAGTACTAGTGGACACGTGCAACGACCCACTGGTCAGTGTTTTCTTCTGAAAAAAAAAAACAAAAATGTTGATTATTGCTGTGTGAGTTAAAACACAATCTCAAAACAACCGCAGACCATGCCACTTAACTAGAGATGCCTTTTTAAATGTTAGTTTTCACTTTAAATTTAGGTTGTCTTCCTTTTTAACTTAAAATGTTACATTAGTTCTATAATTAGATTTTTTTTTTAGGTTCAAGAGTGCATTTATGGTGTAAAACATCGAAATTTGAAATAATTAGATGTCCACAGAGTGCTATTTTTCACCAGTTGTTGTGCATTCTAACTGGGTATTGAACAATTTTAAGGCATACAGTGGAATTTGTTTTACTTATTGCTTCTCGTTCCAGACCTAAGTGAACATATTTAGAAAAAAAAATCATGTTTGAACCTTCATATAAAAGCTTAAGAATCCCTGAGCTAAACTGACAGGCAGGGCAAAGGAGGCAATAATCAGAGAAGCTGCCAAGAGCCTCATGGTAACTCTGGAAGAGCTGCAGTGCTTCATAGCTCCAGTGGAAGAATCTGTTGACAAGGACTCTTAGTCACAGTCATGTTGGTCCTTTTCCCAAAAGCAGGAAAGACACTAAACATGTGAAAGAAGATGTTTTTGTAAAATAAGACCAGAATTTGTCTCTTTTTTTTCTAACAAGCATGTGGTGGAAGATCCATTCTATATGAAATCCCTAAAAGTTGGTGGCAGCTTGAGGAGATTGCTTTGTTCGACAGGTAAAGGAAAAAGGTGTGGAGTTGACCGGAAGGTGACTTGAGGTGAATACAGGGTAAAGCTGGAAGAACCGAAAGACTGGAGTGGATCAGAACGAAAACAAAACCCTTAAACATTTAGTCAAAGCCTATTTACATCCTAAAAGTTCAATCCAGACCTAAATCCAATCTGCGGATTGCATGTTAGCTAGTTACTTAAGCGCCATGCAGTCAGGCTCCTCTGTGTCACCAATTTGTTTGGTGACGTTTAAAAGCAGAGTGCAACTTCTTCAATAAAACTTTGATGTTGTGTTTTCCAAGTGGCTTGACAGACTGCTTATTATCCGGGGTCCGTGTTAGCGACGGGCACAAAGCAGAAACAAACATTAGCGCTGTTTAATTATGCATCACAACTTGCGGTTTTATCACAAGATTGATACGCTTTCCTTTTATTGTGCAGACCCGGAGAGCTACACACCAAAAGACTTGGGACTTTTAATTGCGTCAAAAAGTACTTTTACTACACTTTTCAGATTCACAAACATTTTAAAAACCATGCAACATTTCCCTTCTGCTTCACAACAACGCGTTTATTGTAGCGCTCTCTCACATGAAGCCTAATTGAAACAGTGCAATTTGTGACAAAAGGAGAGAAAGTTTGAAGGGATGTAAACACCACTTACAAGAATCAATAGTTTTTAATGATGGCAAAATTAAGCAGCCTAATTGAAAACAGACAAATAGGACTGCTGCGTCCCTTAACGTTTATTTTCTGATCCAACTGATCAGCCAGGACGTAAATTAGCATCAGGAATGTATCGAGCTTAAAGGTACATAGTAAACTGAAAGTTTTAAATAGGATCAAAGTCCAGTTCTACAGTCAGTGTTTCTATTTGTTCCTCTGTGCTACAGCAGATCGGCGAAAACAAAAGAGGAAGGGGCTTGTTGCAAACTTTCCAGAAAAACAGCAAGAAATAAAATGTTACATTTTTTATGTCTTTTGCAAGAAACATTGAAAACTGTTCCTTAGAATAAGAATTAAAAAATCCATTGATGTTATAATAGCACCAGTTTGAAGGAAAACAAGGTAAACAGACCAGGTTTTTTTTATTCAAAATAACAAAAAAAGAAAAACATATACAGTGAGCCTTACAAGCATTTTTAATTAGCACCATAAAGTTTTGCCTGCAGACCACTGCGGATATTAGGAAGCCATTTAGAAAATCACACAAAAACAACGGGGCGCCGACAAATCCTCGGTGCTCACTCCCCTGAAGCGGTGGAACGGCACCTGAACGCCTCATTATATCACATAATGGAATCCTAAATGAATTTTGCACGTGTGGGCACACAGAGTTCATGATATGCTAAAGAGCGAACCTCTCCCTGAACTCCGTTCTTTTTTTCTCTCTCTCTCTCCGTCTTCTTCTTTTGCAGGCATGTTCACCAACACCTGAGAGTGGCGGGGGCTCTGCCCTGCTGGCCCAGTTATTAGCTCTTCCACGGCGCGCTCCCAAAGCTGCTCCGCTAATGGAGGCCGAACAAGCGAGCCAGCGCCTCCGACGCACACACACACGAAACTAATGCTCTAAAATGTGACCACCGCGGCGAACGCGATGTTACTTTGTAGCTTCTCGCATCTGCGTGTACAACATCTGTCAGATTATAAACACATACAGTCCAAAAAGGGACGACGACGAATAATAACCAGCTGCCGAAGGCTGACATAGTGGTATTTTAAACTCTACGATATACACACGTGGAAGTACAGGTGAGCCGTGGTGAGTTCAGCGTTTCCGTCATGTTTATGGTTTCCTGTCAACAGACTGGGGGGTGAAGGAGGGGGGGGGAAACAAGGAATTGTCCCGATAAATTATTGCTCAGGTGTCGGTTTGTGTTTAAGGAAGAGGCGTACACACAGGTAACAGCACTGACTTCAGGAAGTATAAATAAGACCACTGGTTACGATTCAATGATGCCGCATGCACAGCATAGTTACACTTAGCAATGTTCAAATACGCCTCGGATCCCCAACGTCAAAAAGCACAGCGAAAACAGTTTTTACTCGAAACCTTCACAGAAATCCACACCACATCAGCGTTTTCATCGTATAAAAATAAGTTAGAAATCTGGATAAATATTTCACACAAAACTGTAATAAAATATGTTGAGGCTATACGCCAGACTTAAACAAAAAGAGGAATTGGTTGTTTTTTTCCACATTATTGGGGTTGTAGGCTTGCTTAAGGAGAAGAAGAAGAAACAGCTTAAGTGAGGAGAAGAAGAAGAAACAGCTTAAGTGAGGTTTGTGATGACTAAAGTCATTTCAGGTACACAAAACTAAGTAGCCAGTCTCCATTTGTTTTCAAATCCAAGCCTCGGTGGAGACGGGAAGAAGAGCGCCCCCATCCTGCATGGATCAACGTCCGGTCAGTGACCTGAAGTCTGGACTCTGCAGAGGAGGTCCTACAGGCTGAGGACGAAAGCACAATACCGCAGGATTAGCTCCTCTCTGCTCTTTGTCACAAGAAAATAACACCCAGTTTATTTATTTAAAAAAAATGCTCACTGCTAGAGCTAATGCTGCACCGACCTTATGGGTTTATTACTGGGTAATAATAAATAACGTGATCTGATGTTTAGGTTGGGTAAAAGAAACCAGAAAAGCAGAAAGACGGGCCAGGACTGTGGCTAAAAACGATGGATTTTTAATTCAACAAACAGGAGAATCAGAACATAAGATAAATATTAATCCCAAGTTATGAATTAAATGCGGGAAAGTTGAGTTTGTTGGACACTGGATTACAGGCGCAGCATTACCATTTCACACATCTCTTTTGATTTGGCTTCTGTATAACATTGCCTTCAAACCATTTCTGCAATAAACTCAGCAAAAATTCCCATTAATAAGGATACAGTAGTAGATAGTTGAACATATTACAAGAGAAATTGCTGTTTTATCCTGTCCAAGAGTCAAAGTTATGTGTCCAACCATGCTGCGTTTGCAAACGTTTTAAAAATCTCAGCGTTCAGATAAAGGACTGCTCACAACGAGGAATCAACACGACGCCTGAAATCAGAGACGCCAACTCCATTTAATGACGTTTAAAAATGTAAGATTGCGGTGTAGTAACAGTAAATAAATAAATGAGTTAACAGTTTAACACAAAAGCAAATAATAGCTTTTTTCTTCCCCAGATTGTTGTAGTTTATTTTTAAAATATTCATATAAATAACTTACTTTGAAATAAGTAAAATATCTTATAACATGGTGCTAATTATATTTCCAGGAGTGGAAAAAGGAATAAAATCTAAGTGTGTTTTAATCTGACCTGGAGAGAAATGCTGGGTTTTTTCTAGATTTGTTTTCCAGGAGGAATTTATTGTACTTGTACATTTTCAGTCTCACTTTAGGCTTTTTCAAAGAAATTCTTCGTTTTTTTTTATTATTGAGAATTACATATTAAATGCCTCTCGAAAAGATTTTTACTAGTCATTTATAGTTCTTAAGTTTTCCCAAAAATCTTTGATCCATGCATTTGTAATTATATTCATGGTTATTACTCTATATGTGCAGAGAAGGCATGTAGTAGAATGACTTACACCTTCTCTATAATATCATCTAAATCCTAAAAACTAAGAGCAGAAAAGCGCCGCCTGTTTTTTGCTCCCGACTTTAACGAATTCGCAGAAGCAGTTCGACTCACCTGCGCTTCAGTCGCTTTTGAGGAAGAGCTCTGAAAAGAGAAAGAAGACGACAACTGCTTAAAAACCATCTGCGCTCCAGTTGATTTCGCTCTAACACAACGTCTCCATCCAAACAGTTAAGTCTCACAAACTGCATCTGGCAGCTGATCTCTTTCCACCCGTCCCATCTGCATGTCCAGGGTTTGCGCTTGCAGCCGCAAGTACCGACCAAACACATTTGTTTTGAAATCGTATGCACTGGTACAACCTTGACATAAATTGTCTGGTTGCTGACGGTTTACATTCAGCTATGAAACCAGAGTCCGGCGGCAGCCCCTGCAGTTACTGAGCCTTCAAGTCCAATTAGAATCAGTCGGCCCGGGTGCGGATTAGCGGGCTACCGAGCCGTATATCTCTGGTAAGATGAGCGGTCTGTTATTCTAGGCATGTTGTTCCTCTTTTAGGGTTCGATTTTAACCTTTTATGGCTTTCGGTGCCACGAAGTAAAACTTGTTTTATCATCTCGGTAAAGGAGGTCTGTAGGGCTTACGTAACCCGCTCCGAACTCGACATGTGGCCCGATGTGCAGTGGGAGATTTTAAAGAACGATAAATGGAGGCTGGAGAAGAAATACTACTGCTGCACTCTTGCATTTTTATTTCACTTTTTCATGATGCGACACTGATTAAAACTGTTAATCGTCCATCCATCTGCCGGCTGACCGAGTGGAGTCATCCAATACTCGGTTTGTAACGTTCTTTTCCATGGTTTCAGATGTAAATGAATAAAATGAAAAGCAGCACTTTGATGTGAACACGGCCTGCTCCTGAACTCGAGGGCCAGCCTTCGCCACAGGAAAAAAGCTGTTAAGTAGAGAAAATATGATATTCCTGCACGCTGCTGCTGCTGCTTAAGCTGACCGTTTAAAACCGAGACTTGGCGCCACCTGCTGGCAGAATGCGAGCTTGCTCGCAGAAATCCAGCATCTGCCGGTAATTCTCACAGATTAATTCGCAAAACAGAGTTGAGAGCTGATTCAGCAGTTTAAACACTCCGCTAAAAGAAAATGAAATGTCTTGATCATTATAAAAATAAAAAATAAATAAAAAGATTATGGTGGAGACGACGTGCCTACTCACCGGTAGATGTTGGGATCCAACAACATGGCCGTGTCCTGTGGTAACTGGGATAAGTGCACTACTTTTGTCTTCAGCTGAGATCGCTCAGTTTCATTGACCCACACGTCAGGCAAACTGCACACAAAAAGAGAAAAGATGACACGATTTATTAAGAGGAAAAGAAAAGAGAGAAACAGTGTAGACACAAGGAGCAGTATGACTGTGACAAGAAGAAATCATGGCAGCTAATTTTCTGGAGACAATTGAAGTAACATGCTTACTATCTTTGTCGCAGGTATACCTCTGTAAGCGGCGGTTTCTAAACCAATTAAGCCAGATTTGGGGTTTTTTCCTCACTTCCTAAATCCAAATAGAATAAGGTCACGTTTAAAACGACGGGGCATTCATTCGTTCCTCCTCTGCAGAGGACTCTACCCACAACATTCATGACCTCCTTTGTGAAAACTGGAAGTGTGCGAGCACTGCCTTGGCGAACCAAGGTGCAGAAGAAGAAAAAAAAAGAAGGAAAGAAAGAAAGAAAGAAACAAAGAGCTTAGCAAGTCCACTGCCCTCCCCCCCCCCCTTTCCCTCCAGCCTCCACACTCCCCGTCTCCACCCCCAGCGTTCCCCCGTCACGATGTGCGTCATCCCAGGAGCCCCCAGAGACGCACACACATGCACACACACTGCAGTAAGTTAAGCAGGCAGTCGCCCAGCCAGAATCAATCACACAGCTAGTCAGTCCTTTCAGTAGGATGGTGTGCAGACAGAGCTTCACATTCAGCACAGCGGAAGGTAGAGGTGAGAGCAAAACTGAGCCATGAAGGACAAAAGACTGGAGGGGCTGCAGAGAAGAAAAATGAAATGTGAGGAGGTGGGGGAAAAAAAAATCGAAATTGGTAAAATAAAAGTTGCAAATCATGAGTTTTTTTTTTATTATTTTAAATACGAGCAAAATGTATGGAATCATTTCAGGTCCTGATGACTTCACCGCGTCGCCTTTCCAGTTTTTGTCATTTTGTGCTCGAGGTCTTTGGGTATAAAATGGAGCCAATTGTTTCAAAGCAGCCACGCATCAATTCATGCTTTATTAGTTTGAATGTAATAACATCTGCCAGCAGGAGGTTTGATAACCTGACATATTTCATAGGAGTCGGCCAGCAAAAAGATAACCAGAACCACAAAATGAATATAATACTACAGCTTTTCAGATAAAGCACAATTACATGAGATTAATCATAGTATTTCTGGTTTTTATTTTATGGTTTAATCGCCATAATTCTTAAAAAATACTTAATCATAACCAACATAAATGACTGA